GATGTCAGAAGAGACTCTGAAACTTGCCCTTGAATGGAAAGTAAGCTAAAGCAAATGGAAGAAATAATAAGATAAAAGAGCTGAATAGAAAATTTCAAAGAGCAGTTTGAACAGACAAAGCCAATTACTATAATGAAATGTGCAAAGACCTGGAGTTAGAAAACAAAAAGGGAAGAGCACGCTCAGCATTTCTCAAGGTGAAAGAACTAAGGAAAAAAATGTAAGCCTCGAATTGCAATATTGAAAGATTCTATGGGAAAATATTGAATGATGCAGGAAGCATCAAAAGAAGATGGAAGGAATATGCAGAGTCACTGTATCAAAAAGAACTGTTTGAAGTTTACCCATTTCAAGAGGTGGCATATGATCAAGAGCTAATGGAACTGAAGGAAGAAGTTGAAGCTGCACTGAAGGAATTGGTGAAGAACAGGGCTCCAGGAAGTGACGGAATACCATTGAGATGTTTCAACAAACAGATGCCCCACTGGAGACACTCACTCAGTTATACCAAGAGATTTGGAAAACAGCTACCTGGCCAACTGACTCAAAGAGATCTGCATTTGTGCCCATTCCAAAGAAACGTGGTCCCACAGAATGTGGAAATTATTGAACAATATCATTATTATCGCACGCAAGTAAAATCTTACTGAAGATAATTCAAAAATGGTTGCAGCAGTATATTGACAGAGAACTTCCAGAGGTGCAGGCTGAATTCAGAAGAGGACGTGCAACAAGGGATATCATTGCTGATGTCAGATGGATCTTGGCTCAAAGAAAAGAATACCAGAAAAATGTTTACTTGTGTTTTATTGACTATGCAAAGGCATTTGATTGTGTGGATCATAACAAATTGTGGATAACATTGATAGGAATGTGGATTCCAGAACACATAATTGTACTCCTGAGGAACCTGTACATAGACCAGGAGGCTGCTGTTCAAACAGAACAAGGGGACACTGCATGGTTTAAAATCAAGAAGTGAGTTTGTCAGGTTTGTATGCTTTTTCCATACTTATTCAATCTATCTGCTGAGCAAAAATCTGAGAAGCTGGACTATATGAAGAGGAACATGGCATCAGGTATGGAGGAAGGCTCATTAACAACCTGCAATATGCTGACAACACAATTTTGCTTGCTGAAAGCAAGCACTTTAGGAGAATAAGCAAGTCATTTAGATATATAAAATTAAGTAACAGAAAAGTCAGTTAAAATTATTGAATGAATTTACCTTTGGGTAGCAGTGGTGCAGTGCCTAAGGCATTTGACTGCTAACCAGAAGTCTGGCAATTCAAACCCACCAGCCCCTCCTCAGAAGGAAGACTGGGCAATCTACTTCTGTAGAGATACCACCTCGGACACCCAAGGAGGGGTTGTTATGAGTTGGATCGGACTCAATGGAAGTGAGTTTTATTGTTTTTTTGGTTTTGAGTAGCAGTAAGACAGGCAGGAAAGTTGGGGAAAAGGAAAAGCCAGGCGAATAACAGAGCAAGCAGCAGAAGCAAGGATCCAGGTAAGGAGAGGGGCCCAGGCCTCACCTCCAAGATGCAGGAAAGCAGGGGAAAGGAAAAGACAGACAGACAATACAGCAAGCAGAAGCAGCAGGGATCCAGGTAAGGGGAGAGGTACAGGCCCTACCCCCAAGGGGCAGGAAAGCAGGGGAAAGGAAAAGCCAGAGGGATGACAGAGCAAGCAGTGGCAGGAATCCAGGCAATGGGAGGGCAGAGAGATTTTGAACAGATAAGGGAGACAAACTTGTCTGTCGGTTTGTTTTACTGTGGTGGCTTGCATGTTGCTGTGATGTGTGAGACTGTGCCACTGGTGTTTCAAACACCAGCAGGGTTGCACATGGTGCACAGGTTTCAATGCATCTTACAGACTGAGACAGACTAGGAAGAAGGAAAAGGCCATCCACTTCTCAAAGAATTGGCCAGGGAAAGCCTTATGAATAGCAGAGAAACACTGTCTGATACTGTGGTACTTAAATTTGTATGTCAACTTGGTTGGGCTTGGTTGAGAGGCTGGGTAGCTGGTGGTAGTTATTGCCCATGATGAGACCGGCAATCAGCTCCATGGTGGGATCTACCACAAGCAGCTGAGTAGCTGCTTTTGGGATGTGGTCTGCTTCCTGCATATAAGGAAAAGCCTTGGGGATAGTCCCTAGTTTATGGCACACGTGGACCCTGCGTATAGCCATGTCATTTTTCAGCAGCCTGCCATGCTCTGCTGACACTGGGACTTACAATGGACTTAAATTATTGGCCTGCCATGTGTTTTGGTAACATCAGACTGTGCCTTTTTACTTGTCAACCTTGGGTTTGTCAGCCTCTGCAGGCAGCAGCTGTCTGAGTGAAGAAATGCCTCTAGCTCCAGTGGGATGGAAGCAGGAAGCAGAGCTGGGCACCACAAGTGAGTGCCTAGAGCCTGGCACTTTGAACTTAGACTTAAAGCCTTCAAAGTGTGAGAGAATAAACTCCTGTTTGTTAAGGCCATCCCATTTGTGGTATATTCTTGTCAGAGTAGCACTAGGTAACCAGAACAGATACAATACCGCACAACTTTATGAATAGCCTGGAAACATTGTCTGATATAATTCAGGACGATGAGCCCCTTAGGTCGGAAGGATCTCAAAATATGACTGGGAAAGAGCTGAATCATCAGAGTAGAACCAACCTTACTGATACGAATAAAGTAAAGCTTTCAAGACCTCCATTTGCTGACATGGCATAACTCAAATTGAGGAGAAATAGCTGCAAACATCTATTAATAATAGGAACATGGAATGTATGAAGTGTGAATCTAGGAAAATTGGAAGTTATCAAAAATGAAATGGAATGCATAAAGATTGATATTCTAGGCATTAGTGAGCTGAAATGGACTGGTTTGGGCCATTTTGAATAAAAAAACTATATGATCTACTATGCTAGGAATGACAATTTGAAGAGAAATAGGGTGGCATTCATCATCACAAAGGATGTTTCAAGATCTGTCCTGAAGTACAATGCTGTCAGTGATAGGATATATCAATACTCCTATAAGGAAGACCAGTTTATACTACATTATTCAAATTTATGCACCAACCACCAAAGCCAAAGATGAGGAAATTGAAGATTTTTATCAATATCTGCAGTCTGATCAATATCTGCAATCAAGATGTGTTAATTTTCCCTGGTGACTGGAATGCAAAAGTTAGAAACAAAGAAGAATCACTGGTGGTTGGAAAATTTGTCCTTGGTGACAGAAATAACACTGGAGATCACATGATAGAATTTTGCAAGACCAACAATTTATTCATTGCAAATACCTTTTTTCAACAAGACAAATGGCAGCTATACAAGTGGACTTTGCCAGATGGAGTACACAGGAATCAGATTGACTACATCTGTGGCAGGAGCCAATGGAGAAGCTCAATGTCTTCAGCCAAAACCAGGTGAAGAGCTGACTGTGAAAGACACCATCAACTGCTCATATGCAAGTTCAACTTGAAGTTGAAGACAATTAAAACAAGTCCATGAGAGCCAAAATATGATCTTGAATATATCCCTCCTGAATTTAGAGACCATCTAAATAACAGATTTGATGGACTGAACACCAATGATCGAAAACCTGAAGAACTGTGGGATGACATCAAGAACACAATCCATGAAGAAAGCAAGAGGTCATTAAAAAGATAAGAAAAGACCAAAATGGATGTCAGAAGAGACTCTGAAACTTGCCCTCAATGAAAGAGGGGAAGGGCTTCAACAAGATGGATTGACACAGCAATGGGCTCAACTATAGTAAGGATCATGGAGCTGGTGCAGGACCAGGCAGTGTTTTTTCTCCTGTGCATAGGGTCACTATGAGTTGGAGACAACCTGATGGCACCTAACAACAAGAAGCAGTAAGAGTGAGTCGGGGGTCAGAGAGCAGAGGACTACTCTTTTCCTTTCATTTCATTTAGTTCATAAGTCTGAGTCATTAGTTGGATAAAAATAAAATTACATTTAAATAAAAGAGATTTATGAAATATGTAACAATGATGGAGAATTAATAAAATCACAAGGCCGATGACAATTAAGAATCTGGCATAGTTAGGCCAGTTTGTATGCAAAGAAGGGAAAATCAACAAAGATAAAGAAACCACTGTAAGTTTTTAAAAAGAAGAAAACTTGAATATTTAAAAGTTAAAAGCAGCTCTTGAGAAAACTGATAACATCTTGCAATTTTACAAAAATGACTTTGTGTGTGTGTGTGTGTGTGTGTGTGTGAAAGCTGGAGGTTGTCAAAAGAAAGAATATCTTTTGGTCGTGAGAGAAAATTTTTTCAGAAAAATTCTACAAAAAAAAAAAAAAGAATAACAGTACATAGTTGAAATAAAATTTTATTAACAATAAGAAAGTATATTTTGGTATTATGAAAATAATTATGTCAAAAGTCTGAAAGAAACGTAATGTTATTTCATAAGATTGGTACTGTTGACAAACTTCTTGACCTTTCTGACATAGTCATTCAGCAACAAAGCTATTAGCTCAATAGCATTCTTGCTAACACCTATGTCTCCTAATTCCCATGTACTCTCAAAACCCCTCCACACAATCACACTGCCATCTAGTCAATCCCAACTCACAGTGACCCCAAGGGAAGAGTAGAATGGCCCCATAGGGTTTCCAAGGTTGTAAATCTTTATGGAAGCAAACTGCCTGCCTCATCTTTCTCCCACAGAGCAGCTGGTGGGTTAAACCACCGACCTTTGGGTTGATAGGCAAATGCATTAGCCACTCTGCCACCAGAGCACATTTGTCAAAAATCAGGTCCATGATATTCATGAAGCAACCCTCTGAATATATATATTTAGAAAATATTGAATGAGATATTGATATTTTATCTAGAGTTCTCAACATACATTTGACAAACTCTAATATCTAGACAAAATTAACACACCCAATTTCTATTATCTATGTTTACCTTTAATCACAAAACTTTGATTTTTAAATATACTTTTAAAAATTCATATAACTAACCTTTTTGAATTAGATGTCTTGATTTTTTTGATTTTATGCCAGTATCTTTTGTTTTTAATTCAGATAAAATAGAGGAAATGTATTTTCTCTGTTCATTAGACCTTGTAAAATCAACTGGAAAATGTATATTCTGTGGAAACAAAACAAAAAGAATGACAATGATGGTTTCTCATATGAATTTTAGAGTTCTCAAAGAGCGCTTGCAAGAACTATGCATTATCAACTGAAAACAGAAATACCATTTGATCCAGAAATTCCATTACTAGGAATATATTCTAGAGAAGGTGAGAACCAGGACACAGATAGACACCCATGTTCATTGCAGCACAATTCACTATAGCAAAGAGATAGAAGCAAGCTGAATGCCTATCAACATATGAATAGATAACCAAACTATGGTACATTCACACAATGGAATACTATGCATCATTAAAGAATAATGAAGAACACACAAATCACCTCACAATGGAGATGAATTTGGAGGACATTACGCTGAGTGAAATAGGTCAATCACAGAAGGACAAATATTGTACGAGTCCATTATTGTAAAAAGTCAAGGAAAGGTTTACTCAGGGAAGGAAATTCACTCTGTTGGTTACCAGAGATGGGAGGGAAAATATTGGCCTTGATGTGGGTCACATGTTGATTTGGGTAAGGGGAGGGGCAATATAGAAAGAGTCTGTGTCCAGCATGGTGACAATGGGGAAAGGGAGCACACAGAAACGTGCATAAATGATACAGACAATAGAAGCAAATACTATTACATGCACAATACTGCATTACCAGTGGCAGCAAACACTAGGCTATGAATAAATGCAGAGAAAGGTGAGAAGATCAGATGAGCATAAGTGAACAGAAATATACCCAAGATCAAGGACAGATTTGGTTGAAGACAGTCTTACATGTGTACTTGTGCTTCAAAATTATACACATACATTAAAGAAGTAACAGAGGACAAGGTTGCAGGAGCTTCTCAGAGAAAACCAAACAGCTTGAGGAAGAGAATCACTGGGCCTGCAGACTTGGGCCCATAGCCTCAGGGGACATCATGCTCAACTGGCACAACACGGTACATAAAAATCTTGTTCTACATTCTACTTTGGTGAGTAGTGACTAGAGTCTTAAAAGCTTTTGAGCAACCATCTAAGATTTAACTATTGGTCTCCTCTCATCCAGAGCAAAGAAAAGTGAAGAAAATCAAAGGCGTCTGGAAGCAATTAGTCCAAAGATATGATGGACCACAAGGACCTCAGCCCTCACAACCCTGAGACTAGAAGCACTAGATAGTGCCTGACTACCAATGCCAACCATTCAGAAAGGAATTAAAATTGGAGATCCTATATAGAGCGGAAGGAAAAATGTGGGAAAAATTTCAAAAAACAAAAATGACTAGACTTACTGGTCAGATAGAGATTAGCAGAAACCCTGAGACAATGGCCCAGGGTTATCTTTCAGGCTTGGAAATGGACTCACTTCCATGGATTGGCTTTCAGCCCTATAGTAGAAAGACCTACAAGCAGAACACTTTCTCTATCGATATGCACCCACCTACCCTAGGAAAATGCATGCCTTAGATCAATCAGCCATGAGAATGAGGGGCATCATTCACACAGAGGGAAAGCTGGACAGATAGGAATACATAGATAAGAAGGGCACAGGGAAGGAGTAGTCAGAAATAGGAGAGGAAAGGAGAGTTTTTTATGGTTGGGAATTATAATCGGGGCCATGAAATAAAATGTGCATGAATTGTGGAGAACAAAATGAATCTGCTATGTAAATCTGCACCCAACTCACATTTGGGAAAAAAAAAAAAAAAAAAAAAAGAATGAACTATGTATTATGACTGATTTTCATCTTAAAACAACAACAAAACCTGTCACATAGGCAGAGTTAAGATAATAAATGAAAAAAGAACTCTATTGATGGAAGATGGCATCTTAGTAACAGATCATACCTGAACCGTTTTCCACAGAGATTTAGGCAAACTCAACGAAACAGACACAATGATCCTGAAATTATGAGCAACTAATGAGAGGATAAAGTATTAGATCAAGTGAAAATAGGAAAAGGAGCAAGGCCAATAACTGGGGGGGAAAGGAAAAAGAAAATAAAAAACTGGCCTGGCCTGAAGAGAAGCCATTGCAAACACAAAGGAGAATGAGGCAGAAATAAATGAATAAATAATAAAACATCACAGAGCACACAGGCTTTAAAGAGAGAGTAGAAAAATCAGGAGGATTTCAAGGGGAGCTTAAGGTGCACAGAAGAATATCATACAGGGGAACTGGTCAGACTTTCCAAAGCTTAAGCTGCCATGAAGTCAGAAGGGAGTAAGGGAAAGGGAAAAAGACTGTCCCCCCCACCTGTGAATAAATCAAACCCAAAACTGGACCCAGTACTGTGGGATCAATTCCAACTCAGCAGCATTTTTAGGCATGAAGTGGAACTGTCTCCTTGGGTTTCAGGACTTGTAAATTGTTGCAGAGGAGGGCTGCCCTTTCTCCTGTAGGGCAGATAGTGGGTTTGAGCCACAAAGCTTTAATTGATGGCCAAATGCCACCCTCACAGAGGTGCTGCAATGAAGGAAATGGTGAAAAACAAGACTTCAGGAATTGACAAAATACCCTTTGAGATGTTTCAACAAACAGATGCCACACTGGAGGCACTCACTCAGCTATGCCAAGAGATTTGGAACACAACTACCTGGCCTACTGACTGGAAAAGATCCACATTTGCACCCATTCCAAAGAAAGGTGATCCCACAGAATGTGGAAATTATCAAACGATATCATTAATATCACACAAGTAAAATCTTACTGGAGATAATTCAAAAATGGTTGCAGCAGTATATTGACAGAGAACTCCCAGAAATGCAAGCTGGATTCAGAAGAGGATGTGGAATGGGTGATATCATTGCTGATGTTAGATGGATCTTAGCTGAAAGCAAAGAATGCCAGAAAGATGTGTGTGTGTGTGTTATATGTATACACACACACACACAATATTCAAAGAGTGCAAGGAAACCATAAACAGATGCAAGGAGGAGAAAGATAATACCCTTGAAGAATTCAGAAAAATCATTCAAGAACAAAATGACAAAGTAAATAGATAATTAGAAATCATATGAAAAAACAATTAGAAATCCAGAAGATGAGCCCTAAAATTATGGAGAGACATAAAACATTGGAAGGACAAAAGAGCAGGCAACCTGGCTGAAGAATACATTTCCCAGCTGGAAGACAAATCTCTTGACACCAGCTTACATGAGGAAAAATCAAAACAAAGATTGAAGAGAAATGAAGAAAACCTGAGTTATATGGGATGATATGAAAAGAAATAACATACATCTGATGGAATCCAAGAACAAGGAGGGGAGGAACACTGAGAAAATTGTCAAAGACTTTCTAACAGACAACATCCCATACATCATGAAAGATGAAAAGATATCCATCCAAGTAGTTCAGTAGACCTCAAGAGAAATTCACCAAGACATATCATAATCAAACTTTCCAAAACCAAAGACAAAAAATCATGAGAACAGCTTGGGGGGGAAAAAAATGTTACCTACAGGGCAACCAGACTAACTTCTGCTTTCTCGGTAGAAACCACTCAGGCAAGAAAGCAATGGGGTGGCATATACAAAACCTTGAAGGAAAAGAACTGCCAACCAAGAGTAAATATCCAGACAAACTGTCCCTCAAATATGAGGCTAAATTTAAGATGTTCTCAAATACAAATTAAGGGAATTTGTGGAAACCAGACCAACCATGCAAGAAATGCTAAAGTGAGTCCTTCCAAAAGAAAACCAAAAGTGGAAAACAACAAATTAAAATAAGGACATTTGACACTACCACTTAGAAACCAACCCAGAGAAAGAACTCACAAAGTAAAGACAAGCTTAAAAACTCACTGCCATCAAGTCAAATACCACTCACAGTGACCCCTCCTTGGGTTTCCAAGGTGGTACCACTATGGAAGTAGATTGCCCAAACTTCCTTCCCAGGAGTGGCTGGTGGCTTTGAACCACCAGCCTTCTGGTAGCCTTAGGCACTACACTACCAGAGTTCCCTGGTAAAGTAGAGGAAAAAATGGGGAAGACCCTCAACCTGATGCATTGACAATTGCTGCACAATGGGTTGAAATATAGCAAGGATTGTGCATGACCAAGCAGTGTTTTGTTCTGTTGTACATAGGGTCACTATGAGTCAGAGCCTATACATAGGGTCACTGTGAGTCAGAGCTCACTTGATGGCACTTAACAAGGAAATGTCATACCGTTTTCCACAATGGCTGTACCATTTTACAGTCCCACCAGCAATATGTGAGAGTTCCAATCTCTCCACACTTCCGACAGGATTTCTTATTTATTGCTTTGTTGAGATTTGCTATCATTGGTGGGGGTGAGATAATATGTCATTGTTTTGATTTGCATCTCTCTAATGACTAATGGGAACTCAGGTAGCATAGTGTCTAAGGCACTTGACTGCTAACCAGAAGGCTGGTGGTTCAAACCCACCAGTCACTCCTCAGAAGGAAGACTGGGCAATCTACTTCCATAGTGATACTGCCTCGGAAACACAAGGAGGGGTCGCTATGAGTTGGGCCGACTTGATGGCACATAACAACAACAAATGACTAATGAGGAGCTCTGGTAGGATAGTGCCTAAGGCACTTGATTGCTAACCAGAAGGCTGGTGGTTCAAACCCACCAGCCGCTCCTCGGAATGAAGGTTGGGCAATTTACTTCTGTAGTGATACTGACTCAGAAACCCAAGGAGGGGTCGCTATGCGTGTGGTCCAACTGCAGGGCACATAACAACAACAATGACTAATGATCGTGAGCATTTCCTCATGTGTTTGTTGCCCCCTGTGTATCTTTTTATTGAAATGTCTGTTTATGTCCTTTGCCCATTTTTGAATCCGATTATTTATCTTTTTGATATTGAAGTACTGAAGTTTTCTTTAAATTTTAGAGCTAAGTTCCTTATTTGGTATGTCGTAGGCAGCTCCCCTCTCCAATCCCCCAGTCTGTAGGTTCTCTTTTTTACTCTTTTGGAGAATTTGAAAATTTAATTTTCAAAAGGTCTCAGTCATCTACTTTGTCTTCTGCTGCTTGTGCATATGGGTTAG